TTGGCCCTTCACTGTCATTGACAACAATTTGATTGACTCCATACAAGGTAGACAAAGTCATTGAAATGTCAATGAATGAATCAAATACATGGAACCCATTAGATAGCCAATCCATTACGTTTTAGAGTTCTTTTTAACATCCTAGTACAGTATTTGTTTTCAAATCTTTAAATGGCCTCGCGCCACCTTACCTCTCTGAGTTCATCCGCTCCTACACACCTGCCCGGCGCCTCAGGTCTGCGGACCAGACTATTAGAAGTACAAAGAACTAAGCTCAGAGGGGATGGAGCCTTTTCCGTTGCTGGTCCCTCTCGCTGGAATGACCTCCCGCTGAACATTCGGCAAGCCCCCTCACTGACCATCTTTAAAACTCGTCTCAAAACTCATTTGTATTCTTTGGCATTTGACACGGCATGACTCAGACTTGATCTTAGTCTTACTGTTCTGTGCTTTCTACTGTCTTTGTTATTAATTTGTTGTTTTATTGTTGTATGTATGATATTTGCTCCATGCACAGCACTTTGTATACCGCGATGGTTGTTTTAAAGTGCTCGAGAAATACACTTGAGCTGAGTTGAGTTGAGTAAATGCGGAACAACAACATTCAGGCCACTTGGTTGTTTCCCCCAATATCTTCACGTCATTTTTCACTTATCGTCACAACAACAACAACAATCATAACAATAATAATGTATTTTTACTAATGGTTGACCCAAGGCAACTGGCCTCTTGTTGGATTTTTTTCTTGTTTTTCAAAAACACTCAAATATGATTTAGGGAATTATGTACATTTACAATGACATGTATAAAACAGTTGTCCTTCGTTATGTCTAAGACAGATGGTACAGTATTTTCGTGATGTAGTGAAACAATATCTCAGTATGATACACATACGTAGTTACTTCGAATTAAAGATGAATGTAATCTCGTAAAGCAGACACTGGACTCGAAAAGGACGTCATGGCGAGCTATCGCGGTGCATTCTGGGACATGTAGTATTTACGGTGCATGTCCGTCTGCGGTTGCCTCGGCAACAAGTTTTAACCCGGAAGACATTTCCTTTGACAAGCTAGCAGGCTAAACGATCAGAGAGCATCCATTATCGAGTCGCTTAGGGCCAAATAAAGTCGATGAGGACGGCTAAGTGAACCATTAAACACATGAAAGTGTGTTTGAACCCCATTTTCCCCTTCCGTGTGTCTTGAAATTACCTCTTAAACTTGATTCAAACAAACTAATGTGGAGGAACAGAAAATTTCACTCCGAGTAAAGGGGAAGGAGCTAGCATAAATACGTCATGACGTTGCATCTATCGTGGTGCATTCTGGGAGGTGTATTATTCCGCATTCTGCTACTACCTATCGTTGAATCTTCAGGGCCTAATATAATTTTGCCGTATGTCGTCTTCTTTATTTTTAAGAAACTCAAAATAAAATTAATTAACTAGCAATATTACGGTTTGTCCGCTGTAATGGGGGCGGCGCGGGGGTGGCTGGGGGGGAAAGCAAGTCTCGCCCTGTGGTGGAATCTTGACCGGCATTTGAGGTCAGAGTATAACGTCAAGGCTTGTCTTCTGTCACTTGTGATGGTCGCCCAAAGCATGAGCCTGTAAACTCTGCAATATGCTTCAGCGTCCCCCCCCCCCATTTACTGTATTTTTCATTTATTTAGCCACGTAAAGATACAAACTTGTCAAGGTATTTTGGTGACTTTTGGTGTCCTGTGTAGTCCGCGTGATGTATTTATGTGCTCATAAACAAATTCTCTTACTTTTCTCCATAAAACTGTCAGGTAATGATTCACTAAGTGATGAACAGATTGCCTCATGGGTAATGTGCTACTACTGTAATGTCCACGGTGAGGCGACAGATGTCTGTTTTTGCGCGGGAGCTGACACTGCCCCGAATACGTGACGTCGTACTTGGTCAAGTTTGAAATGGCGGTAGATGGACATGAAACAAACCACATGTCGTGCTGGAAAGGCACATCTAATCATTTGAACGATTACCGGCATCGCTTGTGTAACACGAATATTTTAATTTTGATGTAAAAATTCATAGAAACATCTGGACAAAGGTGCAGATTGATTTTTGAGGCTCATTTAAAGCAGCATAAAAAAAAAATCAAAGCAGTGTTTTTAAACAATTACAACACAAATGGAATGAAACGAATCCCTTACGGACGTATCCGCTTGTCCCCCAAGACACGCAGTTCACAGTGCATGACTGTATTCACTGTGGGACACTCCCAGGAGGTTTTTATGGCCTCTTTTATAGCAGTTCAAAAAAAACAACATCAATGCTTGAAAAGTGTGTTACTGTCGAGCAAAACACAGGAACAAACAGTCTGAGTCAGCATTAAATCAAATACTGTACCGTAATTACCCAGCGTTTACACGCGAGCACGTTCTCTTTCACTTTCCTGACTAAGTTCCTCCAATCTCGCCATCCCGTCAGCACTTCAGCACAGACCGGGCGTTTTCCCACGTCTTCCGACCTCACGCTCAGACTGCAAGAATTGGGATGGGAAGTCAAAAGTCGTTTTCGGGGTTGAGAACTATATTCTTATTTGGCTTTTTTGTTTCAGACTTGATCTTAGTTTTACTGTTTGGTGCTTTCTGCCACCTTTGTTACTGATTTATTGCTTTATTGTTTTACATATGATAGTTGCTCCATGTACTTCACTTTGCATGCAGCGATGGCTGTTTGAAAGCGCTCAAAAATACAGTTGAGTTGAGTTGCGTATTCTGCTAACACACTTTTCAAACGGACCCAGAAACCTACCGACACCCTCTTCTTTTTTTTTTTTTTCCCCCCTGTCCCGCTTCCTCTTTTCCTGTTCGGCTTGAGCACCGCTCCGGTTACTCCAGTCCAGTCCTCCATGAGAACTGATCAACTGTCCTGTGAGTTTAGCGAGAGAGCGACGGAGCATGTACACCGAAGTTGAAAAGGCCACTATTCCCGATGAACTGACTTTGAGGGACACAAGGCAAAGGTATTGTCGTCCAAAATCAAAATACTTGAGAATCACTCAGGGTTTCCCCGTGAGCCCCGATACAGTATTTGGATTCCACCTCATTACGGGGTGGCGCCGCCCAGGCCGCTGCCGCTCCGAGAAAGTCTGAAGTCCTGGCAGATGACGGCTAGCCTGTAGACGTTCAAAATGACCACCAGGAAGTTCTTGATGGCGAAGAAGACCAGCATCTGGTGGAAGACGTCGAAGTAGGTCATGACCGTGAGCCGCACCGTCAGGAAGGGGCCGTCCTGGATAAACAAGGCCTCCACGATACCCCAAATGTCCGTGCTGTGCTTGGTCAGGAGGGACACCTCGCGTGCCTCCCGATCGTCCGACGAGTCCGACTTGGAATTCACCACTGTCGGAAACGAGCAGGAAAAGCGCCGCAAATGTCAACGGACTCCTTTGACGCCCACGGGAAGACAGTAACTCAAAACACGCAGATCTCAAATCATCTTTCCCCGTTGAATTGACCGTCCGTTGCCCAAGCCAACATGTCTTCAGTCTTTGTCATGATTATTCTTGATTTTATTAATTTTTTTAGTTACTCACCAGCCAAATGGAGCGGGAACTGCAACATGCTCCACGTCCATACGGCTAAGATGATATAGACCAACTGAGGACTGTTCTCTCTGGAAAGGACAACACACAGGTCGGGATGGGTCTTTTAGTACTCGGCGTTCCCGGTCGTTGGTGACAATTGCTCTCATATTGCCGAGGGTTCAAAAGGGCGGAGCTCGGCGTGGGCGAGAAGGGCCACGTACTTGACATCTGACAGCGTCTCACTGGTGAATTCGAGGATGTCCGCCGCCGTGCCGACGAAGATCAGAAGGAGCTGAGAGAGTTCGTCTCTGGTGACGCCGCCCCCCAAGGGGAGGAGCCACTTTCCCACGATGAGGAGAACCAGCAGGATCTGATGAAGAGCGAGGATCCACTCGTTGGAGCACAGCGCCTGGTTGATGTTCTGGAAAAGGCAGAAATGATGAAGAAAAACACCCGCGCCCACACACCCTCACACACAAAAGGTTGTTTCTCCCTAAGTGGACATCTGGATGTGTTTACACTTGGCTCGGACTCTCGTAGCATGCGGCTAACCGGCTTGCTGCGCTGTTACAAACCCCGCCGGATGTTATTGAAGCCTACCCCCGCCCTGAAAAGGCAAAGGGAGCGGGCAGCTCTTTTCTTTCTGGGGATAAAAGCTTTCGGAGGTGGACGCGCGAAACGCCGGCTCCACGGGCGCCGCGGCGATCTCACGCATGCACGTTTCAAATGCCGTCGTGGCGTTTCATCAAGGCTTTCATCTGCGGTCATAAAACTATTATGGGAGCGGATAGTTTTCTTTGTGGCGTTCCCCAGGGGCCGCTTATCAAACCACTTCTCTTCTTGCGCAGACGCGCGCATGTGAATTTTCTCTTGGCGATCGCTCTGACGTCAGACGCAGGACGGAAAATCTTGTTTGGATGTGTGTGTTTTGAACGGCGCCTTGCGTTTTGCGCGATCGCAGCCGCGCTTGCGTCCACTCGTGCCTTGATGGCACCATTCAACTTTTCCTGACTTTTGCCAACGGATTCCGGCCAGTACTGCTGAGAAGGCTCTTTGTCTCACCCGCTCCAACGGTCAGTCTCGGAGACGGCGTGCGTGACGTCAACACTCGCGTCTTTGTGCAATGTTCCTGCCGTGTTTATTCTCCCCATCCTGCGAACCCAATTTGTCTGACATTTTAAAACTTGAATGCACCAAGAGCTCATGTCAACTCAGTGTTGCTGTCATTAGCAATGTGATTTAGCCCCCCCCCCACCCACACACACACACACACACACAGACACAGCCCCCACCGCTCAGGACCGATGATGTGTCCGCGTGTTGGTGGCTGTCTGTATTTGTCTGACGCAAAGTTGGGGGTGGCGGTAGCTCAGTCAGAAAGGTCTCGGCTTGAGGAACTTGGCTCGGGGGCCAACGGGCGGCTGCTTCTGCTCTCCCAACGAGTCCGTCGTTGCGGTTTCACGGTTCTTAGAAAGTTGCCTTTTACAGCCCACGGATCTTTTGATGTCGGGAAAAGGCGTCGCCACCGCCTTGCCCGCGGAGCCCACCCGTTTTGCGGCCCTAAATTTAGGACACGCTTCAATCCGCAGTCTGGGGATAACGTTGGCGGCTTGCTGACGAAATGCTGAACAAACAGTTTGGGTGAGCAAACACCAAATGGGAGCTTTGGATGATTCAGTCCTCTGACAGATTTGGAAATGGGAGTACCGCTTGTCAACCAAACCTCAAATTTTCAGAAATGGATGATGATTCGAGACTTAATCTACCGAGTGAGTCAACTGCTGACATAAATCACATGTGCAGCCGGGAGTCAGAGGTTTTTTTGGAGGGGGGGGGTGGTGACACTATCCAGACAGGTGACAGCAAATGGCTTTATTTTATCACGCCTCTGAACTCTGACCCCGTCTTCCCATCAATCAGAAAATAACCTCGCGCACGTCAGTCGTCGCACGCCGACACGGCCTGCTAATGACACACCGGGGTGAAGTCGGCTTTACCTCCAGGTAGTTCTGGTACGTGAGGTTGTCCCCCGTGGTCTCATTCAGGGTGATGACTCGCTTCACGTTCTCCCAGGAGTCGAGCTTCTTGCACTGCAACGAAGGAGAGCCTCTGCTGAGAGCGACGTTGGAGGACACGTTCATCCGGGAGCCACGCGGCATCGCGGCCCTCCCACGCGACAACGAGGCCGTCCCGCCGGCGCAATCGAGCCCCATGACCGCCTTTGGCATGGAGCGTTTACGTGTTCTTCACCGAAGGCGATCCGTCTCCCGATGGGAACGAACGACGACGAGGACGCGACAAAGCAAACGCCTCCCGGCGTTCCAATCTGCCGTTCGGCCATCCGAGCGAGTGACCCGTTTTGGCCCCCGACCCTGACATAAGTCATGAAAGAACGTGCTTCGATCATCCACGCCGCCATTTTCCATCGCGCTTGCGCTCAAGAGGGCCACGGATCACATTGATTTGATCGCCCTTTTTAGAATTCAGCACTTTTGGACCACCCCACCGATGAAGCGTTTGAAATCCGGCAGACGAATGAAGAGACCCTCAACTAGATGACATCAAACGAAAAAAAGCAACAGGATGTCGACGGCGGGTGTTTCTTTTTCGACATCTGCGTTCTCAAGTCAAGTGTATTTCTCGAGCACTTTCAAACAACCGCCGCTGCGTCCAAAGTGCTGCGCATGGAGCAACTGTCACCCATTCAACACGAAACAAGAGCTCGAAGAATGTCTGGTCCGGCGTTTCAGAAAACACCCGATCACAGCATCAAAAACCCGACGAGAGCAGTCGTCAAACGACATTAACTGGGTGCGGACGGCCTCTTTTCCAAAATTGAGGCTTGCCACTTTTTGCATTTTCAACGACAGCAGGTGAGCTAAACGGCTTCCCCAAAGTAAGTCGACGGATCTCTGAAATGACACGAATTCCACACGGCGTCTTCGCCGTCTTGCCGTTTCATTGCGGCAAACTAAAAAGGCGACGCTTGTACCTGAGGGTCGCCGGCTTTGTCCTGCTGGTAGTGCAGCTCCAGGATCCAAATGGAGGGAATGATACTGATGAGAAAGAGAAAGATGGGAGGGGAAAACCTGAAAGGGAACATGCAAAAGTCTCCATGAGAACGCGCGCATGCCGGGAAGGAACGAAGTCAGGGCCACAAGCCTCGAAGCGCCGCACGATCGCGTCGGCCGCGGGTTCCCGCGGGTTTTCCGGCTCTCCCCGTTGCGACACGCGGGCCGGGCCTCTGCCGACGAGCTGATCGTTGGAACTGGGGGGGCGAGATGGAAAAGACGCAGCACGGCGGCCCTCCACCTGCGGCGTCAAACTCCTTTCAAAGTGCCTCGCAAGAGCTCCGATCGGGCTCCCATCCCGCTCCTTGCTCTTCTCTTCTCCGCTTCCACCGCCCATTTGTACATTTCGCCGCTTGGCGGTACGACGTGGCGGCGAAGCGCGTCGGAGGTCGACTTCAGTCAACTTTTGGACATCCTGTCTGGGGACGAGCTCAGGGGAAACGCTGACGGGAAAAGGTCCCCTCCCCTTTGTGACATTTGGGTTTCCTCATTCAGCTCCACCAGGGAGACCGCGCCGTGTTTTCATGCCAAATGGCGAGACAGGGAACATCTCCAAAGGCGAAAAGTTGACCATACAAATACACTCACCGGAGGGCTTGACCCTTCTATACAACATCTTCGAAAGAGCCCAAAAAAACCCAACAACACATTTCCAACCCGCTGAGTTACAATCCGCAGCTTTGTTGCCAGACCATTTCGGGTGGTGCTCAACAACCTCGAAATTGAAACGGCGGCATGTCCCCTTGGAGCAAAGCAGACCGCGTTTGATTGAAAGGAGAGGAGGAAAGAACAGCACAGCCGCCTTGCCTCAAAGGTGCTTTGTTCCACTCGATCCCTTCCACGTCTCTCCGACTTTTAGTGATGACATCATGACAATGAACCGATCACCGATCTGGTATCAAATCCCAACTATCTGCTGATCTGCTGATCTGATCCGATCCAGACGATCGGACCCGCGCGTTCCCCATGCAAAAAACGATTGGACGAAATGAATCGGATGTTGTGAACTGACTTTTTTTCTTGCACGGAAACTTTTCAGGTGGCCAGAGAAAGCGCCACTCTGTCCTGTGTTCGCCACGATGTCACGTGCCTGTGCGACCGACGAGCTCACCAATTGAAGCCCGTTCACATTCGAACAGACGCGCTGGGCAGTCGGTGAGAGCGAAGAGGGCATTTTGAAGTCATTTCTGGGTTTTACACGTTGTGCATTGCGTGTCAGATAGAAGTCCAGAAAAAAGTGAGTCCGAAGTCAATTTGGGGGTATTTTTGCTCCTCAGAGTGGGGGGGGGGGTGTTAAAAAGGCCTCTTGTTAACGTAGCAAAACGAGTTTCTCTCCCTTTCCTCTTTTTCTGCGTGTGGCTCAACATTTCAATCATCGCTCGTGTTTCACGTGGGAAGAACTGCGCTTCAATCCAAAGTCCAAAACGGTGACGGTCATCTCGGCCGGCCGGCCGGCTGGCTCCGATCGTAATCGCCCCCCCCCCCCCCACCCCCCCGCTACACTTTTTTTCCACTTTTCGCAAGCAGAAAAGGACATCCGTTCTGGCCTGTTTGTCAACACCACGCTTCCACGCGACTAAGTCACGACAAAGATGTTCTTTTTCGATCGCAGGACGTCTATTTAGGGCAGATTTATGGTGGCGGGGGGACCACCCAGTCCACATTGTCTCGATTAACAATAGCAGCAGTCGACCGGAGCCTTGCTTGCGGGGCAAACTGAGGTGGGAGCTAAAAAAAAAAAGCGGTCTGCCGTGCGCTTCTTTTACCATTTGTAATCTTGGCCTTTCCTCCTCTTCAGCGTGACGACCATCTCCAGCAGAAGCGGCGCGAAGAGCAGCGTGAGCAGCCAGAAGATGTGGTCGCCCTTCACCCAGGTCACCCGCCACACGCCCGCCAGCGACACCAAGAGAAAGAGCGCCCTGGTCGCGATGGCGCACGTCAACTTCAACACGCTCAGCATCATCTTTTGCCTCCCGCCTCCTCCAGCCGGTACACTCCGCACTCCCGACGTATCAACTCGACATATGCGCGATGAAATTTGCGGCACTCGCACCAACATCAACACACACACAAAAAAAAAAGTGGGCTCAAAGTTGCAGCTCCACCCCCGAGTGGGAGTGGGAGTTGGAGTGGGGAAGGGGGCCGCCGCGTGAGGCCACTCGCTTTAGAAGAACGCGACGACGTGCAAGTCGAGGATTCTTGCGACGGCAATTGCAAAGAGGCGCGCCCGCAAGAGGGCGCCAGAGACCCCCGCACGCCGCGCACATCATTTCGATGCGCCGCTGCACCCGCGGTGCGTAAAATCATAAACGCATCGTAAAATATGCGCTAGGATTGGAAAACGGAACACGAAGTACACTCACGTGGTTTTCACTCTCATGACCGACGTGAAATGACATCCTCGCCGGAGGCTTATGATGAACAATCACTAAAGAAAGAAATAAATAGCAAGACAAACGCTGAATTCCGAGACTACGCGACCAGACAAAACTTGGGAGACGCTTCGACGGCACGAGAGAATGTTTGAAAACTTTTAATTGGTATGTGTACTTAATAGAAGGAAAAGAACGTTCACATTAAAATGTACACGCCGCGACAATGTGAAATAAAAATGTACTCCAACAAAAGCTTTATTTGTTGGTGTTGTTTAATCAGCATTTCTTCAAGATTCAACACGAATACACTGTTGGAAGGAGTTCCACATCCAACTCAACTGTTCTTAGGGAGTGATTCTGTTTAGTGCCACAAGAGGGAGCCCGTTTACCACCGGCGGTTCTCATCCGACACTCCGACGCACCGCTCGAAGGGAAACACAATCACTCCTCAAAGTGCATTTTGTCCTTCAAGAATTTGGGGGAAGTTAAACGTCATCAAATTGCGCACTGTTTTGGAAATAAAAATGTATTATAATGCACTTGAACAAATGTTGACTGTTACCAAGTCATAGTTTTCAGTCCGAAAGGTAGAATAAGCTGAAAGACATGACATTTTTTCAATTAAAAAAAAAAAAAGAAGAATGCCCCACGATATCAGACTATTCAAAAAAAATAAAAAGTCCAACGTTATGTGATATACCTATTTTCGGTCAAAAGTATGACCTTTTTTTAAAAATAAAAAAAGTGAGTGAATCCACTCTCAATTTAATGGCAAACTGTCAGAAAATAAACGGATTGTTAAGAGCATATCACACTATTGCGACAAATTTTTTGATCGACCACGGGTAACACAACTCTTGTGGTGGACTCGGAAAAGAACAATTTTGATCAAGTACAGCAGTCATAAAAAAAAGCAAGTCCCTCAACGCTGTCCTTCTTTAGTGTTCAACAAATGACCTGATTGTGCTGGACGTTATGTCATTTCCTGTTGAACACAACACGTGAAATTGATTGTGTGTGTGTGTGTGTGTGTGTGTGTGTGTGCGCCTTCACTTTCACTACTTTTATAAGCTTGCATAAACCAATCAGCTTGCACATCGTCTCGCAGTCACATAAAAACCTTATCAGGCATTCTAATCACATATCTCATTATCTCGCCTGTGCAGGAAGTCTCTCACTATGCAAAGTCCACCCGGGCGCTGCACACGCGCGCGCGCACCCCCCCCCCCCACACACACACACACACAATGTGCTCTGCTCAGGCAGACCTGTTCTGAAATAATTGGGCCCAGCCAGCCTGCCAACGGTGGCGAGGGGAAACGACAGGCTCGCCCGTGACCTTGCAAGGGAGACAGGCTTTTCCTGTCTTTGTTCCGACATGTCCATCATCATCATCATCTTTTCTTTTTCTCTCTCTGATCTCCACCGGCATGGTACAAAGATATTTGGCGGCAGTAGGGAAAACAGTAGCAAAAAAAGGTCACTTCCTGTGTCATGATGATGATGATGATGATGATGATGACGCCTTCTTGTTGTCCCAACAGGTGGCGCTCAACACCACGTAATGAAGTGGCGTAACGACGGATTTTCCAGACAACAAAACCAAAAGCAAAACCAAAAAGGCTCAGGTTCCAAGTGAATTGTGGGTGAGCATAAGTCACATTGTTCTCAAAAGGATCTTTTTCCATTATTTCCGTATTCGGGCAAAGAAAAGCTGTCGGAGCCATTTATTCGCTGGCTGGATTTGAATACGAGTGACGTCAACACCAGCGAGCCAACAGCGTTTATCCAATGTCGAGCTGCCCAGACTTGAGGGCAGCTCTTGAAATGCATTGGGGGGCGGGGGGGAACCCAAATATTTGGTTCATGACCTCCACGCGGTCTACTTTGTATAAGCAATGATTTGTTGTTGTTGTTGTTTTTTAAGACAATTAGGAACATCCAGGAACATCAGAGCGCCCAGCTGAAAACGTCTGAAACGGGGGGGGGCAGTTCAGTTCGGAACCTGTAAAGGTAAATAAAAAAGCTTACGAGCTTCGAAAAAGAAATACAGCAATCAGCGGGCCCAATTATGAATACCCTACAGACACTGCTTCCTTTGGTTCATATTTTCGATGCTCTCGATGACATTTCCGTACACAGACGACAGTAGAATGCCTTTGTGCCGCAGCCATATTGGATGTGGCAAAGTGGAGAAATTCGCTCGGAAGTCATTGGATGAATATTGAACCGTTGCTTTTGATGGCGTTCCGTCCTTCCAACTCACTTTTGAAGAATATTGCTTGCAAATATTCCGGCTCAGAGGATGGCCACATCCAATGCGGCAGATGCAGCGACGCATCGTTTTGAAAGGGGAGGCCGGTTCAACGGGTGCCTGCAGCAGGAACCAAAAGAAAAAGACGATCTATTTGCATTTTAGATGTCCAAAGGCTTTGTGGCTCCTGCGATTCCTTTTATGAAACGGGTTCAAATGGCTGTTGAGTTGCATGAGAACTCACCGTCGCCTCGAGTCTGAAATTGCCGATTAATCATCGGCAAAATGTATTTTGCCATCTCAGCCTCTGAAATTTGTGACTATTGTCTCAACATTACCAGAAGCTGTGTCACTTTGCCCATAAAATACAAACGATCGGGGCGATTGTTGAGATAGATCTAGAGCAGTGTCTCTTAACCTAGTTAGAGGTACCGAACCCAACCAGTTCAGATGCACGTTCACCAAACCCTTCATTCGTGAAAAATAAAGATTAGATTTTTTACAAATTCAAGACATTTAAAAAAAACACATTTATTTCAAACAGAAAAAGTAAATAAAATTACATGGCCTAAGGCACTGATTGGACAAGCAATGTCATGTGATCATCTGCAGCCAGCGACGGCCAAGCGGGCGTGTCATAACGAATTGACATGTTGAGTCGGGTGTGTCTTAACCTCCATGGCAGAGGCTCCGTCGAACCCCTGAGCCCGATTCACCCAACCCCTGGGGTTCCATCCAACCCAGGTGAAGAACCACTGATCTCCAGGTTGATGTGGGCATCAGTAGAGAGGTCCACATACATTTTGGCGATGCTTTTTTCTCTTCCTCCGAGGCCTTATTATCTCCCGGACAGCTTCTCAAAGGACATCCTAAAGCTGCGGTCTTTTGGGATCGCTTTTTTTTGCCCCCACCCCCTCGATGACTTTCATCCCCAGGTTCCGTAATCAATCCGCAAGAAACGTTCTGGCCGTCGTCTTTTCTTATTTTGTTCTCTCCAATGAAAGCTCACGTTGCCGGGGTGAAAAGTGAAGCAGGTGTCTCTAATAAGCGCTTGTTCCCAAAACGCCGGCTGGCCTGCGCGCGGTCACACGTGTCAGGCATTCGCAATGCAAGAAATTGCACTTGAAACGGCTAAGAGGTGACTCATTCTCTCTCCTTCGTTCCCGTCTCTGTGTCGACAGCTGCGAGCGGCCGAGCGCTTATGACACAAACATGATTCAGAGCGGCCCGGCAGCCGAGCTCCGCCGAGGAGCTTTTCCAGGGTGGAATCTCAGACAATGAGGAGATTTGCTGTCAAACAATCTTGCGTTCCCTTCATTTTCCTTTCTGTCTTCCCCCCACTGGAAGCTGGAAAAGTGCAGCGGATTCTGAATTCAAAACAAGAGGCTGTTAGGTGGTGCTGAGCCGCCCCCCCCATCCCCCCTTCTTGGCTCATGTGCGTTAAACAGCCCACAGATGTTTTACATCGATGTGAACACGTTCTTCATTTGTCCCCAGCAGAAGCGGCGCGGGGATTAACCTCGCCGCGGCAACGCGGTCCCAAACAGCGAGCGGCTTTTTGCATCAGGTCGTTTGCTTGTCTCCGAGTACGGCGGGCGTCGCCATAGCAACCCCAGCGATGACTAAATTGCCTCATAAAAGGAGATCAATGGTTAATGCGCAGAGGAGATTACGTCTGCGACGCGGCCACTGAGTCATCTTTGAAAATATGCTTTGAAAAGGGATCGTTGGATTGTGGCTCCCCTTCGTTTGTTATCCCAGCCATCGCCGCAGCGGTGTCTTGAGATGGCAAATATGTTTTGGGCTTTTCCCTCTTGTCTCCTTGTTTTATGTGCACATTCCCCAAGCGGTCGGTCTTTCGCCGTCGCGCCCCTTTTTTCCCCCCTCCTTGCTCCTCACCGTGTTCTCAAAGCAGCTGCAAACAGGTGTTTTGGCCGCTGGCTTTTTGGCTCCCTTTTCTCATTTTTGGGTGATTGCTTTTCGCTCTCGGTTTGCTTTCCACAAACGGGTTCCGGCAGGGGTTGTCGCAGTTCATCGCAGGTGAAGCGACGAGGTCTCCTTGTTGCGGTTCTTGCCGTTGGCTCGCTCTTTTCTCCTCTCTTATCCCAATTTTCAAAAGGTCCCAACAAGTTTTTCTTTTTCATGATGGGATGAGGTCATCTACGTCGTCTCCCCCCGTGACCTCACATGTGCGCCAAGGGACGTTTTCAGCACATTGATGTCTTTGACTCTATCTTTGCTGGGAAACGCAACTTCGAAAGACCAAGCGGTGTTTTTGGACCACAGCCAGACTGGCATCCCGGCTCAAAGCCCTAAACCTTGTTTGAAGCCCTAAATGGAAACCATCCATCCTCGATCTGAGCCGCTTCTCCTCACGAGGGTCGCGGGCTGCCGGAGCCTATCCCGGCACTCCATTAACCTGTCCTGCATGTTTTTTATGGCATGTGGGA